TTGATAGGGATTAAGAGAATGGACTTTGAGCAGTATGGCACCTGCGTTTGACTCTTGGCAGTGTAGGTCAGGAAGAAATTGCCATAGGGTATAAAACTTTTTTCACCTACTTAATTACCAGTTATAGGGGTAAACAATTCCTAATTAAAGTTAACCCAGGTTTTTAGCCCGATAGACATATTTTTAGTGTGTAGACTCCTGTTTTCAGCTGTGAATCCTGTGCTTACTTTGTATCATATTTTTCATAGCATAGTACAGTATAAGCAGAGCACTAGCCTGTGGGTAGTTAGCCTGAGAATTGCTCCTGAGAATTGCTTTGCTAATGTGGAGGAGGGAGATGGTTCTGAGCCAAGAGAGGGAGAACTGCTGTGAAAACTCCCAGGAGGCAAAATAGCCACAATTTAGCACTCTGAATTAAAAGAGAAAGCAATACTCTCTCAGAATTGGAAGGAACATGTAGAGATTGTATAGTAAGGCAGCTTTTCACCTTTTAAAATTTTATCTGACAATTGAAATGTGCATGGCATATGTTAGATGTTACTGTTACAATATTGCTACAATAGATAAATACAGGTTATATGTAATTTTTGCCATGCTTGCTGTAATTCTGTCTCTTAAAAATCTCACTTAAAGAATATTGCAGTGCAAACGAATTGACTTTATTATACTAGTAGTGTTTACCAAGAACCTGCTTTCATTTAATTAGGAAATTAAACTAGTTGCAAACCTGAGTACTTTATTATCAATTTTGAATTATTTATGATATAATACTCACAACTGATCAACATATCTGTGTGCTGGTGGCATCATATTGAAAGTTTTTTATCTGGTCTGGCAGTTCTCAAATGTTAGTATGCTTCAGAATCCCGTGGCAGGCTTGTTAAAATATAGATTGCTGGTCTCCTCTCCCAGAATTTCTGATTTAGTAGATCTAGGGTAGGGCCTGAGAATTTGTTTCTAACAAGTTCACAAGTGAGGTTGTTGCTGCTGGCCTGGGAACCACATTTTGAGAATTTACTGCTTTAGCACCCTGATGTTTTACCTCCACACACCCCCCCCCCCCCCCCCCCCAAAACAGAACGCAATAATTCTGGAATATTTCTACTGGCACAATCCATACCTTTTTAAGATGGTCTAGTCACTATAAGACAATTCTTCCTTCTAACTAACCCTTCTGTTATTTTCATCCAGTAATTCTAATTCTGGCCTCTGCAGTAAGAAGATGACTCTTTTACAATGTAGGAAATAGCCCTCATGTAGTTGAAGAGAGTTATGAATGTCTCCTTTCTTCCCTCCCTCCCTCCTTCCTCCCTTCTTTTTCTTCCTTTCCTCCTTTCCTTCCCTCCTCTTCCTTCCCCCCTTCCTCCCTCCCTCCCTTCCTTCTTGTTAAATGTTTATAGCTTCCTTAATAGTTATTGGAAAAGTACTGTAATTTGTAGTTAGGCTCATATTTACTATTGCCATAGCAGTGTTTTATTTGTAGACTTGTTTTTCCCTCTGTATTCCCAGGGTTGATAAGCATTCCACCCAAGTCAGAAACCCGGAAGTCATTCTAGGTTTGATCATAATAATGATAGAAACCAATCTGATCTAGTTTAAGCAGAAAGGAAGAGCTTATTATAAGGTCACTGTCTTATCCCATTGAACCTGAAAGCATGTAGTTTGACTGGACTTTGTAAGGGAACTAGAAATGGGAACTAGAAAACTAGAAAACTGCAAGAAGTAGGTTAGTATGGAAGTCAGTAAGGAAGTTCTGTTTCCCATGCCCTTTTTCTTTCTCTCTTGGGCTATTTGTGGTATTGTCTTTTTTGTTTAGTTCTCCTATCCTCTCCCTTAATGACTTCTTGTATAAACTCAATAATGTTCTGCTATTTTTTTTGTGTGTGTTCTGCTATAAAAGCTTAGTTGAGCAAATGAAGCAGGACACAGAACAGTTCATACTGAGTGGTTCATATAAGATTTTCACTTTATATAATCTATTCTGTTAGAAGCCCAGATAGTGGTTCCTCTGGAGGGAACTGGGGGAGTGACTGGAAGGGAACACAGGGACTTTCTTAGGCCCTTGGTTATGTCTTGAAATAAAACACCACATTTTTAAAAAACATTTTTAAAAATTGATTTCAGAGAGGAAGGGAGAGGGAGAGAGAGATAGAAACATCAATGATGAGAGAGAATCATTGATTGGCTGCCTCCTGCATATCCCCTACTGGGGATTGAGCCCACAACCCAGGCTTGTGCCCTGACCGGGAATCAGATGTGACCTCCTGATTCATGGGTTGACACTCAACCACCGATCCACACTGGCCAGGCTAAAAATATTTTAAAGTTGATTTTTAGAGAGAGAGGAAAGGAGAAGGAGAGGGAGAGGGAAACATGGATATGAGAGTGAAGCATCGATTGGCTGCCTCCTGCATGCCCCTTACTGGGGATTGAGTCCACAACCCGGGCATGTGCCCTGACCAGGAATCAAACCAGCAACCTTTCAGTGTACAGACAACTCCCATACCAGTCAGGGCTTAAAAAAAAAAAAATCTTGATATTGATTACATGAATATGTTTAAATTGTGTAAATGCATTGACTTATATTCTGAGGTATGTGGACTTTTCTGAAATGAGCAGGCTTCTTAAGTAAAAGTTAAAAAAAGACATTCTAATTTAAAAGTTAAATTTCATGGCCAGTTTAATATATATTTTCTTCCCCTTGCAAGGTTTAGACAGGGGAGACTTGGAACAAGAAGGGGCATGATCTGCTTTTATTTTTTCTCTCTCCATTTCCTGGCTTCTTCTCTTTGGTATGTTATGATATAGAATAAGGAGATTGGAAAGGATATGACGTTCTCTTGCTGCGGATCTAGTACCCTATTGATTGTTGTTCCTTTTCTGGCTAAGACTAATTGCACATCCAGTGTAGCAGTCATCCAATCAAGTGCTGGCGTTCTCATGGAATGGACTTTACTTTCTCTATTGCCTTCATGTAGGATTTTACTTTAGTTTGATATCTTCCAAGGCTTTCTCATTTTCCTCTACCCAAATTTTCTTGCTGGGGGTGTTGCCTCTGTGAGTGGCCAGCCATTTTTGGTGGGTTACTAACATTAGTGTCCGAACCCTGCTTCCATCCATGCTTTCTCCCTGATTCATAGATTCTATTTCTTCATTGACACACCAAATAGTGGGACTATAGGCTGCTCCCTTGCTGCCTTCTCTTTTTGCATTAACTTCTGCTTCCAATTCTCCTTTCTTGCTGCTCACATTAATTGTTTTAATGATACAGTGCCTAAATATCCCACTTGATCTTTTTGCTACCAATTAATTTTTTTTTCTTCTCATAAACTTCACTCTTTTCTTTATGCTTGGGTATTTGTAAATTATATTATGCATAGTACTTTCCCATGTTTATGAAATCACCAATCAAAGTATATGACCTAAGAGGGCTTTTTAAAAGTCTTTTCTCAAGGAGGCAGGCATTTTTTCATTTCCCCCTTATTTATTTATTTATTATTTTTTAAATCCTCACTCGAAGATATGTTTTTATTGATTTTAGAGGGAGAGGGAGGGAGTGTGGGGGAGAGAGAGAGAGAGAGAGAGAGAGAGAGGAACCTCGAGGGGCATCGAAACCACATCGAGGGAACTGGGGGAGTGACTGGAAGGGAACACAGGGACTTTCTTAGGCTCTTGGTTATGTCTTGAAATAAAACACCACATTTTTAAAAAACAGTTTTAAAAATTGATTTCAGAGAGGAAGGGAGAGGGAGAGAGAGATAGAAACATCAATGATGAGAGAGAATCATTGATTGGCTGCCTCCTGCATATCCCCTACTGGGGATTGAGCCCACAACCCAGGCTTGTGCCCTGACCTGGGTATGTGATGTGCTGTGACTGGGAATTAAACCCATGACTCTTCGATGCACAGATAACACTCAAACCAACTGAGTCACACCCACACCAGCTAGGGCTGCCTGTGACTTTTAGTATTGCCATAGTATGTGTTACTTGAGTCTTGTTTCAAAAGTCTGTTAATATAGATTTCAGTTATTTATCCTTAAGCTTCTCATTTTGTCTTAGTACTTTCAATTTGATGTGCTGCTTACCTTGTTTATTTTAGCTTCCATCATTGAAATATGAAAATATGCCTCATTTGCTTTATTTTGTTTCAAAATAGTTTCTCATTTAAGCTGTTAATTAGGTGGGGTTGCTCCAAAATGTTGAATCTTGATATGTTGGACACTACTGAATGAGGAGGAAGAGGTGTTGGGATGGAGTGGGATGGGCTAGACCCGTGGTCGGCAAACTGAGGCTTGCGAGCCACATGCGGCTCTTTGGCCCTTTGAGTGTGGCTCTTCCACAAAATACCACATGCGGGCACACGTACAGTGCGATTGAAACTTTGTGGCCCATGCGCAGAAGTCGGTTTTCGGCCTGGGCGAGTCTCTTTTGAAGAAGTACTGTTGACTAATGAGTTTGCCGACCACTGCTAGACTAAAATAAAGGCAAAGAGGAGGCACTGTCAAGGTTTCATATTGTCTGTATTTTCTTTATAGTACTTTATACTTTTTCACTGAAAGCATGTAGCTCTTATTATGGACATATAAAGAAAGCTCCAAGTTTTATTTTAGCATTAATTGAATGCTGGAGGTGTTTCTAACTTTGTATAACAGGTAAAGGAAGGCTTGGTATTCATGATTTTTTGAAAAAAGCTTTTCTTTACTGGATGGATAGAGGAAGAATGTGAAAAAAAGGAGAAAAGTAAATAAACATAGTGTGTACTAATTATAAATAATACATCTTATCAAAATGTCTTATCTTGTGAATTTCCTCCTCTTTTTTGTTTGGCATTTTATGATCAATATCCCACATCCTTCATAGCATATCCAAATAACTTTTAGTAAAAAATATGTTTCTGACTTTATGTATTGAACAGGAAATAGAAAATGTTGGCACTTTTTAACTGTAATAATGAGTACTGTAGAGATGTTTAATATAAAGTTCTTAGATACTTTCAGAAAAGACATTAAAGAATTATGTTTTACTTTTTTCTCTGAAGGATGTTATACCTGGACTTAGTCCCTTGCTCTTCAGGAAGCTCAGTAATCCTGACATATTTTCATCCACTGGAAAAGCTAAACTTCAACGACAGCTTAGTCAGGATGACTCTAAGTTACGGAGAGGAAGCCTGGCCAATTCTTTGTCAGGTAAGTATCTATTTTGTTTTTTTAAGAAATGTGAGACTGTGTTGTCAATATTTAAAGGTGTACCAACTGAATTGGCATCTTGACAGCTTCTTCTCTGGTGGTAGTTTTGTATAGAACACTTATGGCTAACTCTCCTTACTAACTTCCTCTTGGTATCTCTGAACACTGACCTCCTGAACCTGCTAATATTTCTTGGTTGACCACTATCACTGATTATTTCCTTTTAATCTGATTATTGCTCTCTACTTACTTCTATGGACTTCACATCCTCTGCTTCTTTTGATTTTTCTCCCCCCGCCCCCATTTTGAAAACCCATTTAGTGCCCATAGTGTCTTCACACCTTTTCCACTGAAAAGTTAAAAAATTCGAGGGGAAAAAATTATACAAGGAAGTCATGTTCCAAATATGAAGCAATTAAAATGTGGCATAATTTTAAGCAATCAATAGAGTGTGATAAAAAGAGAATCCATGTGACTCCTGCTAAAATATTAGATCATTAGAGAAGTAAATATAATCCTGCCATACTCCTTGGTCTAAGAGTAAACAGTTTTCAACTTCTTTTTATTTTTGTCCCTTTTTAGGACTATTCTCTTAGTTTTATCTTCTCACTCATCTATTGACATTTTTATTTTGTCAGACATGTATTTGATCATAAAGAGCTGTTTCTTATTTAATTTTTTGTAGCATTCTCTCTTTTTTTAAAAATTGTCCTCTCTTTTTTAATATATTTATTGATTTCAGAGAGGAAGGGAGAGGGAGAGAGAGAAATAGAAACATCAATGATGAAAGAGAATCATTGATTGGCTGCCTCCTGCACGCCCCACACTGGGGATTGAGTCTGCACCCCGGGCATGTGCCCCAACTCGGTGGGAATTAAATTGTGACCTTCTGGTTCTCATAGGTCAACGCTCAATCACTGAGCCATGCTGGCCAGGCATTCTGCTCTTCTTTTAAGGATGTGTTTATCTTCTAATTCTCTGTGAGTAAATAGATTTTTTATTTTTGGATTAAAACTTTTTAAAAATTAAAACTTTTTATATATATATATATATATATTATTGATTTTTTACAGAGAGAAAGGGAGAGGGATAGAGAGCCAGAAACATCGATGAGAGAAACATCGATCAGCTGCACACCTCCTACTGGGGATGTGCCCACAACCAAGGTACATGCCCTTGATGGGAATCGAACCTTGGACCTTTCAGTCCGCAGACCGATGCTCTATCCACTGAGCCAAACCAGCCAGGCCTGGATTAAAACTTTTATTTTTTTAAGTTTTCTTTTGTTTATGAATCAACTCTTTTCCTTTTCTTTTTTTTAAATCCTCACCCAAGGATATTTTTCCACTGATTTTCAGAGAGAGTGGAAGAGAGAGAGGGAAAGACAGAAATATTGATGTGAGAGAAACACATCGATTGGTTGCTTTCTGCATGAGTCCTGATCGAGGTATGAGCCCTTGACTGGAATCAAACCCGGGACCCTTTGGTCCGCAGGCCGATGCTCTATCCACTGAGCCAAACTGACTAGGGCTTACCTCTTTTTCTTTCGACTCCTAACTACTAGAATCCATTGCTTTGCTCTGTGATGCTATATCCCTTCTATCCTGTGAGATAGTGGCCTGGCTACTGGGTGGTACAATGTAGGACTGTGATTGTGTTTGAATGTTATACCTATAGATTTTCAGTTAATCTGACTTCAACCTTATGTCTTACTTTATGTCCTTTTAGATATTTTGCATTTCTGAGCACTGAACTTATCTAAGATTTTGCAGGGCAGCTTGATACCCCATTTAACTGCAACCTCCTATATGTTTATTATACCTTGTGCCTTTTTTTGCCCAGTTCTATTGATTATGATTCACCTATCCTCTTTAGATTTTCCCAACAATAATTTGTTCATTCCTTATAATTTGTTTATCTCTCTCTCATACCCTCCTTCCCTCCTTTTCTCTTTCTTACTCCCCTTTGTTTATTTATTTTATTTCTAATTTTAATGAAGTTTCCTGGGGGACAAAAGATAAAAGTATATACTCAGTCATCCATCTTTAACTGGGAATATTTTGTATAATGGCCTCTTGAATCATTGTAAGAATATTAATTGGAATTATTTTTTTTCCTGAATTATTTATTTACTAAAGAGCTAGATGCTTCATTTGAACATATTGTTGCTTCTGTTTTATGTTGTTTGTTTTCCTCAAATTTTTGTCAATTCTTGGTACACTTCAAGCCCTGACTATATATGTCCAAATGGGTATCTGCACCCTCTCCAATCTGGGACCCCTTGGGATGTCTGACTGCCGGTTTAGGCCCGATCCCGAAACCAGCAGTAGGACATCCTTCTCACAATCCGGAACTGCTAGCTCCTAACCACTCGCCTGCCTGCCTGCCTGCCTGATTGCCCCTAACCGCTTCTGCCTGCCAGCCTGATCGCCCCCTAACCACTCCATGCCGGCCTGATTGCCCCCAACTGCCCTTCCCTGCTGGCCTGATCGTCCACAACTGCCTTCCCCAGCTGGCCTGATGACCCCCAACTACCCTCCCTGTTGGGGCCTGATTGCTCCCAACTGCCCTCCCTTTCTGGCCTAATCGCCCCAACTGCCCTCCCCTGCTGGCCCGATCACCCACAACTGCCCTCCACTGCCGGCCCGATCACCCACAACTGCCCTCTCTTCTGTGACCTGCCTCCTCCATGCAAGGCTATGGAGACACCGGGACCGGCCTCCTCCGTGTCAAGCACAGCTGTGGGACCCCCAGGCCTCACTGCACGGAGCGGCCACTGGGCCCCGCCTTTACTGTGCGCGCGGCCATCTTGTGGTGACCATCTTGTGATTATGTCGCGCGAGGGTGTGACGCCACCTAGGCTTTTATTATATACTAGAGGCCCGGTGCACAAAAATTTGTGTACTCAGGGGGGGAGGGAGGTCCCCCAGCCCGGCCTGTGCCCTCTCGCAGTCTGGGACCCCTCGGGAGATAACGACCTGCTGGCTTAGGCCTGCTCCCGGGTGGCAGAGGGCACGCCCAATCCCTAGGTGCAGCCCCTGGTCAGGCTCAGAGCAGGGCCGATTGGGGAGTTGGGGCACCGCCCC